CGATGGCATCGGCCAGGGCTGGCAGGAGACATACTGAACCGGTCCGACCTTCACGCCGCTCTCCTCCTCCACCTCCCGCCTTACTGCATCCTCAATCGTTTCCCCTGCGGGGTAGGACAGGGAGAAGCTGTCACCCTAATTTTTTATAGCTGAGACTTGATTTATGGTTAATATTCCTGTGAGGATGAGCTTCAGGCTCACATCAGTTGTTTAACAGCTGAGCAGTTTTTCTGTGTGTGTGAGTGTGTGGTATACCAGGCTCTACAAATCCCGCTAAACAGGAAAACATCCCAGCTGGGAAGACCTTCTTCCTTCCCAATAAACATTGGTTTCCATCTGGGTGGATCACCAGCATGATGACCACTGGGTCTGAAATCACAAACATATGCAAACTTTGTTACTTTGGACATTTTTGAATTTATCTGACATTGCAACAATAAAGAGTAGACAACAAAAAGGGGGAAGAGAGCAGGAAAGGGATACAGGTCAGGATCATGCCCAGGCTGCTGCATACGGCCGTGCCTTCAACCAGCATAACAGGCACCCACGCACCCACGTTGGGCTTTTTTAATATGGGGGTCTGCAGGACTTGACTTAGAGCCAGCCTCAAGAAGCCACTGGAGAAATTACAGTTTTCTGTTCTTTTTAGCTTTCACGTTTTTTGGTCATGTTTTTTGTGCACAGCATGATGCTACACAGTATTAACTACAGTGCAGATGAGCTGATAGATGAGCAGATTCATACCAACTCGTGGATAGCAGGTATTGTGGACCCCCTTTAGACTCCTGCATTCAGAGTTCAGACAGCTTCTCTTGTGTCCTCCATCCTCCAGTTTGGTGCTGCTGCCACATGTCGGACAGAAGCTGTAGCGACTGTTCCAGGCCAACACCGATCGAGCCTGAGCCACGATTCCTTGCAGACAAGGAGAGCAGGAAGAAGTATTATACTGTGACACAAGAGAGGCAGGTGATCAAACAACAACACACGTTTTGTGTGTCTCACCGGCCTCTTCCTCGTTTAGTTTCAGCAGGTCTCTGTTTGGCATCTTTGGAAAGGAGCAGTTCTTCTCCCTGCACCGTTTAACAAGGTCAGCAGCATCTTCATCAGTGCTGAAAGCAAACCAAGCAGGAGCCTCCCGGATACCCTCCTCAGGAGAGCAAGGGGAGGGATTTTTCCTCTTCTCCACTCCGAGGAAAATGAGCACAGTTGCAGGTTTCTGCAGAAGATCCTTAACTGCCTCATATCTGAACCGGCACAGTTTGCTCTCAACCTGTTGCAATCAGATTCACAATTCACATGACTTTCATCTTTGTCATGTAAACTAGCCGTAGGCTGTAGGTCATAAACATACCACTGCGCCGTCGTCTTCCTGGGATGTGCTGAGCATGGGGCTGAGGTTCGAGAATATGAGGTAGACAGTATCTGGTCCTCTTTGTTTGGCCTCCAACCAGGCCTTGTCAGTCCTCTTCCCACTCAGGCGGTCCAGCGTCTCCCTGCTGAAGTAGTTTTCCTGCGGACTGATGTCGGAGCCCGGCAGGACTCGCCGGCAGCCATCGTCTGTCTGGCAGAGTAGGTTAGCGATGTGTTTGTGACCCCAGAACTTGGCAACATCGTAGGCGGTCTGTGATGAACTGTTTACTATGAACTTATCACAGCTAAAAGACAGAAGAAAAAAGAGGTTTTAGAGAAGTCAGGAATCCATTCATACATTCAAGGCTACAACACATCAAAGTCTGGGGCTTTTACAACTTAGACTTTTAAGTTTCTAGATGTTTTCATTTAAATTGCACCAATATTTTTTCCGTACCTGCTTATTATAGCCTCTTTGAGGATGTTTTTCTATACTAAATGGGGGTTTTTTTGCTACTAGTTTTTGTCTCTTCAGCTTTTATATTGATTTATTTCAGTAAAGGTTTTTGCCTCATCACGCTGTTAATGCAGGTTTATTATTGTTTGTCTTGTTTGGTTTTCTTGCAACTCCTAATTTTACTGTATTTTCACCACTAGTTTTATCCCTATTTTGCCTTGTTTTATACTTTAAAATATCATTTTAGCATATAGCTCCTATATGCTAAAAAAATGTAGCTACAGTTTTATCTCTCTCTGACTTTCAGTCTACTCCTATTTAATTTTTAATACGTTTTAATTTAACGTACCTGTGTGTAGCCAAGTTTTGTTCTAGCTACATCTTTTGTTTCAGAATGAGAATAAATTTTTTTGGCCAAGTTTGTGCAAACAAATAAGGAACTTCTGTTGAAAAACAAACAAATACAGACTTCTGTTTACTTTGCTCTTTCAGGTTCAGTTTCTTTAAATATTTGAAAACCTCACTTTAGCCTCTTTTCATAATGCGTTCCAGTTCCTATGTTTCTGCCCATCAAGTCTGCAAATATTTACCTAAACATAACATATTTGGAATAGATGCATCCCCTAAATGCTAAAAATTATTAATGCAGCTTTGAAAAAATATTCCACAATATATCTCTTTAGTATTGTTCAAAGCAAATGGTACATTAATAACATTACAAATTAAGAGAAATGCAGTGATGTACCCATGTGACAGCAGCTTCTCCACCACATGAGAATGTCCATTGCGAGCTGCAAGCATTAGTGCGGTCCAGCCGCTGTATCCTGTCTGGTTTATGAGCGAGGGCACATGGGACAGCAAGGTGGACACCTGGGACATATCTCCTCTTGCTGCAGCATCCAGAAACTTCTCCACCATGTCCTCCTTCGCGCTCAGTTGATAGCTCGTCATCCTGGATCCCGAGACAAAGACAATGAAACCTGGGGTAATATATGATCTGGCAAAATGTCAGAGGAGATATTATGAACAGATGAAGCAGCTAGTTACAAATAAATGATAAAAGTATTTTAAAAGTATTCATTTGACACATAAGAGCTAAAGCTAAATCATAGATAAAAAGGTAAAACGTTTTGAATAATTGATTGATGATTAATGTCAAGAAATGGGAATTTGGGTTTAACAACCTCAAAATATAGCTCAGAGTTTAAAATGCTGAAAAAACTAAAAGTACTACAGCAAAATTGACCCAAATAAATACTGATATCTCACTAGAATGCTATCTATTCTTCCTATTGAGTGGTTTGATATAACATCCAGAGAAAGACTAAAATATGGAAAACAAATACATTTTGCTCTTGTTTACTAACAGTTAGACCCAAGAATATTTGGTTCCAATTATTCTAATTACAATGTTTCCAATTTAATTAAAGTTACTAACTAACTGTGCCATCTTGTGGCACTCACTGGTATTACTGTAAAGAACAGCTTGACCCTTGTTCACTTCAGTTGATATGCTGTGCTCTTTATGATTTAGACAAAATATTTTTTATTCGCATTCACTTGACAGCTGCACTTAATTTTGAAATATTTTTAACTATTTCAAAATAGTTATTTTGAAAAAAAATTCCATGACAATTTTTTTTATCAAATTTTGTAATTTTCTGGCAACAAAAATGGCAAATGCATAAGTTAATAAACTTATAATTTAGTAAAAAAAAAACAAAAACAAACCTACAGCATCAATTCTACACTGTCCCTTTAATTAGTCCTCCCTGTCTCATTAGCGCATCGAGCTGTCAATCACTGAACCCTTTGACCTCGACAATGGTTGCGAAATAAACTTACAGGAACCACCTTGAATTGCAGGTTTGCTTTTACAAATCCCACAGTGTTGAAGATTAAGCTTGGACACAGTGTTTGTTTGTCATGTGGTTTTAAAAGGCCTCTGAAACGGCTCTGTTTCACTAACAGTTCAGGAAACGAAAACACGAACGAACAGGAGCGACTTTCGCCGGTTAAGCTTCGTTTAAACGAGACCAAGCATCACATTTCACTTTGAGTTTCATGTGAAAGATTATTAATGCGTCATATCTTGCCTTTCGCTCGGCGTTCACTTCCCCTCCGTCTCCTGTTGTTGGAGAAAATGTTACGAGGTGTGTTCAAGAGCAACAACCACGCTGATTAGGGGTGGTGCTGCCTTCAGGTCCTCCCGGCGCTGTAGTATTTCCGACTTGTAAAGGCTTGTCATAGAAGAATGAAGCTGTGTTAGAGTACTTTACATAGTAAAATTGCTTCCTCCTATATGCTCTCACCTGCTACTATATTAAGTATTACTGCTAACTGAGTCCTCTAATTATTACATAGAAGAAATCTGTTGCAATTAGGCATAATGCCATTGATAAGTTGACCCTTTGAAGTTCAAACTGAGCATCAGAATCTCACTGAAAGGTAATTAAAATGAGTTTGAACATTGCATAGTTGCTGGTGTCAGAGAGACTGATTTGACTTTTTAGAAACAGAAAGGTTCCCAATAATCATCAGAAAGTAGCCATCAGTTTTCTGTGTGAAAATAGGAAGGAAACAATAATTTAAATAACCAGTCATTACAAAAGAAGTTATGCAGAAGAGCATCTCTGAATACACAACACAATGTGCTGCTTCCAGAACAGAAAACTGAGGCTATAATTAAAATGAACAATTTGGTGTAAACAGCATGAAAGCATCAGGTATTGTCACTGACCATGTCCATCCCATTATGGCCACAGTATGCTTCTCTTCTGATGGCTGGGACAGGATATTCTCATCATGGATGTGCAGCTGACAAATGTGAAGCGATCATGTCAACATGGACAAAATTCTCTGAGGATTGTTTTCATCATCTTGTTAAATCTATGTCATGAAAAATGAAGATCGTTCTGAAGTCGAAAGCTGGTCCAACTAGCAAGGTATACTTAATAAAGTGGCTATTGAGTGTATATGTCATTGTTCTACTCTAATGCCACTATCTTATGGAGTTTATACAAATAAAAAAGAGTTTATGTGAATTGTTTTTTTCAGCCCTTCACTAAAGAATTGTGTCATCAGATTAAAGTTACATTGCTGAGGATGAGATTATTTTCTGATTTTGACTTTAAGTACTTCACTAATACAGGAACAGGAATAAAGCTGACAAAAACCAAACTTCAATAAAGCATATGTTTTAGTTAATCCTTTATTAAAATAAAGTACAAAATAAAGTTAACAAAGATGGAGCATCTCTCTTTGTGAACCCAGTGGGGAAAAACCATAAAAACGTCATTTTATAATCACAGAAGCTTACATTCTCAAATCCAAACTTTTATCCTTATAAATAAACTTTTACATGAATTTACCTGTAGTTACTCTCATTCACATAAAACTCACAGAGGAAACGGAACAAGCAACCTGTTAGTGTTATGGTCAAATCTGTTGACTGAGTTTAATTAACATGTTAAAAACAATCGATTTAAGACAAGTGGAAAAAGATATTAGTCCTAATAATTTTTCCCTTCACAGCTGGACAGTTTCACAAGCTTAAAGCACGACGACGTTTCTGTTTTTGTGCAGACGGAGGCTTTCTCATACTGTAATAAATATGGAGAGCAGGACACACTTTATGTTTGTGCGTGAGCAGAGTAGGTATATAACTCTGTGTGTGTGTGTGTGTGTGTGTGTGTGTGTGTTAGGAGTAAAAGGTGAGGACGCTCTGGTGGTTTCCTCGCACCAGCAGCAGTGGTGGGAGGTCTTTGGACAGAGTTTCCAGCCAGCACATGTAGAGGGCGCTCGACACTGTGCCCTTTCTTGCCAAAGGCATGCTCCTAGCCACACACAGAGAGAGAAAGAAAAATTTAATTTTTATGATATTTATATATATCAAAATCAAACCCAGAGCAGCGTTAGAAAGAAGACTGCATGATCTTGTAATTATGAGTTATGAGCAGTTAATGTCATTAAATTAATATGTAAGCTTAAAGGTCAAATTATTTTGACGTGTTAAGTTCAATGTGAGAGGTCTAATTTACTTTATATGTAACAGCTGTGATGAGTCACACTTTATGTCTCATTATTTTAACTATATTTGCTTGTTTTTCAATTAACTGCACTGAATTAACCGTGAACAGCTTATAAAATATGAACTATAAATTCTGGAGCTCAGAGCATTATGGATCATCCACTTTAATGCTTCTGAAGTTCCCTGAGTGTCATCAATGTCTTAAGATTTCTTCAGTATCAAAGTTTAAGATATAGTCAAAATTTCAGACTCTCAACTTTAAATCCGCGGGATAGCTAACTGTTTTTTGGGTTCCAGTTTAGTTGGACAAGTTAACACAATCATATATAAAACGCCTTTTTTAATACTGTGATGGAACATGTTTCACAATCTGCTGCACACATGGATGGAAGCCATGCATGCCCTTGCGTCACACCGGCTCTGCTGCTGCTGATGTTTTATGTTTCGGCTCCGAAGCATAAAACATGGTTCCAGGACTTCTCCACACTGTTGTCGCTTTGTTACAGGTTGACTTGAACAGATAGAATGCTGCTTCAGAATTGGTGAAGGTTTTTTCGGTGAAGTTTAACTTGTTGTTCTTGAGTTTGATAAATGGTTGTGGTGAATCCTCTGTATTTTCTGTCATTGGCGTCTTCTCTTTATGGTTGAACTTGGAACTTATGGCTTTCTCCTGGAGATTGTTCTTCTTTAACATCCCCCTGGTGCATTTGCTAAATGTCCAAAGCTTTTGTAAGTTCACTGGTGTTCTTTTTCATTGTTATAAGAATTTAATCTGGCCTCTCATGGTTTTATTTCATTTTGCAGAAAGTGGTGTCCATACAAGCAGTGATTGGCTTGTCATGCATTATTTTGTCAATTAATGATTGTTTTGGTAGTGAGTATTCCAGGATCCAAAGACACTGTTGTGCACACTGGACACTGGACAAGTCACCACTTCAACACAGACAGCTGTATGCTCATATTCACACCCACGGTGTATTTAGAATCACCAGTTAACATGACACGCACGTCTTTGGAGTGTGGGAAGAAGCTGGAGTACCCAGAGGGAACCCACACAGGCACAGGGAGAAGATGCAAGCTCATACAGAAACACCTGATTCATGGAAATGAGCAGCCGGGTTAACCAGGCTTTTTAAATGCGAGTTTGTCTGTAAATTAAAACAAATGATGACACGATGATGACAAAGTTATTACGAAGTTCTTACATGACGATGAGTTTGGCAGTGCTGGAGTGTTCCTTCAGCAGCTCGTTCAGCCTGATCTGACGATTGGTCTGAAAGTAACACACAGTATAGTTACATAAACCACTTGAACAGAGCACTGTGATTGGTCTGAGTGTGTCTGCAACATGAGGACAGACCTTGGCCTTGTAGAGCTCCAGTTCGTTGTCAGTGATCCTCCAGGGCTCCTGGGCCTTCAGCCTCTCAGCAGCCTCCTGCTCCATGTCGTCTTCCTTCAGCCTGTACGGCTCGATCAGCTCCTTAAAGGTCAGCTTACTGTAAAAACAAAACACATACATTAGGTTTTTAGAGTAGCGCTATCAGTTTCATCCTCCCCACATGATGCTTCATTCTAAAGAACATTTAAAAAAATATTTCAAAGCACTTAAACTTTTAATATTACAAACTTTCTACATGTTGACTTTCACAGTCATCAAGTAATCGATAAATTAAAAAAAAGAATTCATAAACAAATCATTCACCTTTTGACTTTGGCTTTCCAACACTTTGTAAGCAATTTACACACGTAACACAGACACTAAAGACATTAAAAACACAATAGTGTTTAGTGCAAATCCATAGTGATCAAGCTGCTGAGCTCAGGAAGTTTCAGAGGACTTACTTGTGTTTCTTGGGTTTGGTGTTGATGTCACCGAGGACGTTTATGTCAGAGAAGTCGATTCTGAACCTGCTGAGCAGCGTGGCCATCCTGACGTGACACAAAAACAAAAACACAATAATAAATGTATGTGGATATAAAGTCAAGTTTGTAGTAAAGTAAAGTTGATTGCTTGGCATAGGTGGATAAGCAGCTGTTGACTCACGCTCGGCGGTCGTGGTCGATGCGGTTAATCTTTCCGCCGATGAACACGCGGATCCTGCAGTCGCCCCACTTACTCCTGTTGGTCAGCAAGTAGGGGATCAGCAGAGTCAGGCCTGCAAACCAACACATCAGAGATTATACAGGTCATTAAAAAACCCAAACTGAACAAAAATCTGTTTTCCAGTATACACAGCAAAATCTCCAGTGTTAATTTAACACTGGAGATTTTGCTGTGTAGATCAGGGAACCACAGATTTGAATGTTTTTTAAGTCTATTAATTTTTCACCTTACTTTTTACGACAGTGACACGTATGAATCGAAAAGCACAACCAACAGTTAGCTATGTTTAGACTTTTTGACAGAATCATAGGACCCAAAGTCAGTTCAGCAGATATGTTTTTATTTTCATATAACAATGAGAACACTAACCTCCATCATCAAAGAGCCACCACACATCAATGGTTCCTTTGCCCTGTTTCTTCTTAAACTGCTGACTGCTCTCCAACAGACGCTGGTCGGTCAGGCTCAGAGGAGACTTGGTCTCTGGTAGGCGACGTCACATGGAAGAGCAGAAGACAAGGTAAAGTCAAAGAAACACAAAAGCTCCTGAGCTGTATCACCAGGGTTCACAACAGTACAGTATAATAAAACAGAGCCTTAGCTGTTCAAATAATTAATTTTTTATATACTTTTGCTGCTAGAAAAATGCTAGAAACATAAATCAATGGAATATTTCACAAGCTTAGCCATGAGACTGTGCAGGGATTGTGCCAAATGTTTTTTGGACGAGAAGTCAGTCAATTTCAATCATTGCTGATTTTAAATAATTTCCATAGCATAGCACATGGCTAGAAAAGAAAAAGAGATCAATTTAATTTCTTCCTTTTTGTTCACCGCTAACGATGAGCTGCCTTAAAATGGAAATACTTGAATAAAATATAAGAACAACAAGTCCTGTGACAGTGAGAGTTGTATAAAAAGTAAACATTAGAGCAATAGGCTAAGCTGAGGTATAATTTTAATTCTTCCTCACTGTTTACCTCTCGTGATGAGCGGGCTGCTCTGGTTGCTGGTGGTTTTTGAAGGACAGGAGTCAGAATCGGAGTCTTTAGCCGGAATGACAGAAATCAGCACATCCTTAGTGATGACTGGAGGCTTCTCATGGGATGATAGCAGTTCGTCTGCAGGGGTACAAACACAGTATAAACAGAAGGTAGACAAAGTGATGGATATGAAGAAAAAGACAGACGTACCTTGTCCCTGGATGTGAGAAATATCCAGTCCTTCCTGCAGCCGCAGGATTACCACACCAAACAAAAGGTCGAAGGCATCACTGGAATTAAAAATAAATAAATAAATGAAACGCTATACAAAAATGACTCCAAGTGTGATGCAGAACCTCAGCTGCAAAATTACATCAAAAACAAAGATTAGTCCACTTTTTTAACCTTAACTTTTAGCATTACAATCTGATAGAGAGAGCCTACATGGCGTTAACGTCATTTTAACACAATTAATGATAACAGCACTACAAAAAACAGTATGATTGTAAAATTGGTTGTTGGTAGCTCTTTAAAAAGACGCATTAGCCCTTACTGTATAGTGTTGATGTAATTCTCCACATCTCTCATGTTTCCATCACTCCAGTTGTTCTTGAAACCCATGACCAGCGTGTTGGGTTTCAGACGACCTAAACCAACAGCCTAGCATGGGGAGGAAACACATATTTGTAAATGGTGACTTTAATATAAGATGAAGGGTGCAAAAAGAAGGCTTCTTCTGTACCTGCAGGAGTAACTGAGCTCCGTGCCTCAAGTTGTCTGAAAAAACAGGAGCATAAAAAGCCTTGATGCGTTTTTTGTTGAGGTAGCGCTGACAGCGGGCATAATCCTGATATAGCTCCCTAAAGTTCGACCGACGGGACACCTGACGCAGGAGTGGGAGGAGATGAAGCACAAAACGTTTCAGCCATGTGAAAGAAAGCGTAACATGCAGACCTAACAGACGACATTTGGTACGTACAGTTCTGACGTGGCCGGAGACCATGAGGCTGACGTTCTTGGTGAAAGAATTCACCAACTGAAGCAGAGCGGGTCGAGCGTTTGGATAACCCGCCAACACCAAACACTGCGGCCTGTCAATATACATTTTATACAGAAGGTCAAGTTTAGGTAGTTTTAAAACAAGAAGCCAGGTTATTTTGGTTTAAATAATTACTTTTAAAATTGGATTAAATTTTGATCATTTAAATTCAGTTAGAGCCAAGTTTCCACTGTTACTACTGAATGCCTTTGTGTTGGTAACGAGTGCCGAGAATTAACCTTGTAACATCTACCAGGTCAGCATGTTTAGAGTTAAAGGTGGGGTTTGGTTTTTGTTTCAGTCACTTTTAGTCCATGAGTTCAGCTCCACTCAAAGCTTCATGCTGACCTGAAGTTTTTAACGTGGTCCTCGACTCCGGTGAGGTTCAGGCAGTGAGTCAGAGCCTGGTTGTAGATCAGAGCCTGAGTGGATGAACCCCAGTTCACATCTAGAGGAAACAGCAGTTTGAATTTGAGCAGAGTGGTCAGCTCATGGAGTTCAATTGTCCACAATATAATAATGATAGTCATCATCATCATCATCATCATCATCATGGTCGTTATCATTAATTGCAGCATATAAAAGATGAATTCGTAATAAGATAAAGCAAGATAAACATTAAAGAAAGTAAAAGTGCATAATACAGTATATGCAATATTAATATGTTAATACAGTAAGTATTGTTGCAGGTCGTGCAGGTGGGACTAATGTTAACTGCTTTGCATTATATGTTTTAAATAATACATCACAGTTTATTAAGTGATTATATTTAGTTTGTTTTCCATGAGCTGCTTGAATTCCTCAGATAGCTCGTAAAAGCCAAGATGCAGAATATACAGAGTCAAAACTGAAGTAGGCCAGAAAACTTTCATTTATAAGATTATGATTATTATTCTGTTCGTTGCACCGTTTAAATTAACACACAGATCTCTTTCAACATGTTGGGAGAAATCAAACATATTGATTAAAAAGCCAAAAAATTCCAACTGGAGCAAAAGTTTAAAGTGGATAAACATGGAAACGCTCAAGTAAAGAATGGGCACAACTAAGAGTTACATACATTAAACATGTCAGCCGACATGAGCTCAGGTATCAGTACCATGCATTTCTTATTTATTTGTATTTATTTATTTATTATTTTTTGCTGCAGTTGCTCTATTTTTATTTAATTTCCCAGTGACTGGAGGATGACACCAGTGCATTCATTCTCGTAAGAAGTCGGACATCCAGAGAATGGGAGGTGTTGAGTATTTAGATGTTCTTTAGTGACGCCCAGCATTTAGTAGCCATTAAAGAAACGGCCACTAAATGGTGCCGCGTGAAATCAGCTGGAAGTACCTGACCCAGAGCTTCATATTGGTCGTTGTTAGAAGTTTGGAAAGGATAAAATGTGGTGCCATTGTCTTCTTACCAGGTTTCTTGTAACTGACGTAGATGTAGAGCGCGAGGACAATGAGCAGCGTAACAAGGGCCGCCCACCAGTTAATGACAAACATCACCACGCAGCACAGGATCGCCCCGGCAAGGGATACCCACATGTTGTAGTATTTGAAGCTGGGGCGCCACCCTGTAGTGGAGGGGTGAGAGTAGATCAGATGTTAACAGGCCAAACAGAGGGATTTCTTTTGATGTTTTTAATAGAAATTAAGTTTAGTTCAGTGAAAAAACAACAACAAAGGACTTTTTGTACTATAAACATCATTCACCAATTTGTATACTAGCTAAAATGCCATTAAGAGATGAGTCAAGACAAGGAAGATTGAGAAAACTTTCAGAAATACTAGCATAACACTATGGTAATTTTCATATAATCTATAATCCAGTCATAATTCCTTTACAGTTCCACAGATTACCTGGAGAGCTGGCCAGGGAGGCATGGAAAACTGAGAAGTTGATGAGAGCATACGAGGCCAGAAAGAAGTTGGAGATGATTGGAGCAATGATGTTCAACTCCGCTAGTGGACAAAAGACAGGTTTAACTTTTTTTGTAGATATTTTTATTCTTTATGTTTCATATGCAGGAGCTGAAGGTTTACTTAAACAGCTTACCAATCAGGATGAAGGCAAGACCAATGCAGAAGGTCAGAACGTAACCACGGAGCGGCTCATTGTTCCTGCCATAACCCTTTGCAAACACACTAAGTCCAGGATAGATGTTGTCCTTACAGAGAGCCTGGAATAAATACAGCTTTTATTAACTTTGAAATCACTCAGTTTAATAAATATAGAAGTAATGTTGGCAGGTTCGTCAAGCAACTTTGAAACAATCAGGAGCAGGCAGATGAGGAAATAAGTCCGAAAACAGCTGAAACAGAAGTAAATTGGAGCTTTATGGTTCTGACCTGGAAGACTTTGGGTGCACTGACGAGCGAGGCCAGAGCTGACGACAGAGTGGCTGAGAAAATCCCCGCGGTGATCAGAGGACCGAAGGCCGACACCAGACTCATAACCTGCACGACATAGGAGCATCTTTTAAAGTCACACTGACCAATAAACATCTAGAGTATATAAAAAGTCACATGATTCAGGTATTTTGAGAGATCGATTATATACATTGGCCAATGTTAGTGGAGTTTTAAAGTCTCTGATTTTATTGTAGATAATTGATGGTGTGCAGTGTGACCTTCATTTCTTCTATTTGCAATAATTCATTAATTATTATTATTTATAATAATAATTCACTCAATATTCCACCTGTGTGACTGTGTTTCTTCTGTTTATGTCACTCGTGTGCCATTTCCACAGAGGTGTTTTCTGTAAATTTGCTTCTAAATGAACTCTGTTCAGTATTGAGGTTTCTGTCAGACGATTTAAATATCTGTTATTAAAACGTAATGTTCTGTCATTTTTGACAGCACAACACATACAGTACTCAAGCTTAATCTAAACTAAAATGAAGCAGAAATTGAAGCATTTTAAAGATATTTCCATTGACAGTTTTTTGTGAGTTTTTGCCACAAGCCACAATGTTACTGTCGCTGCACTTGTGCTGCCTTACACAGCCCCAGCAATCCCGCCACATCTGCGATAACACTGAAACGCAAGTACAGTACCGTCACATTTCCTAAATTTATGCAACAAACTGCGATCTCAGTACTGGTTCTGTTTACATTCTTATACACATTTGCTTGTACAACCTGATATTTGAGAGTGAATATTGCTTTTTCTACTCTGATAATATTGGTATGTCTGGGACAGAGGTTCTGACAGATGTGCACGGCAAAGTGACACAACTGTCCCCCTCTGAATTTTAGTTACTTTTCTATAAAATCAAACACGTCTGAAAAATCTTCCCACCATTTTAGCACAAATATTATAGTTCATGAAAGCACGCATACCTGCATAATACAATGTTTTCCAAGTTATAGGCTGCAGATATATTTTTGTCGGTCATAGCTGACCCCTCACAGAAGATCTCAGAATCAGTGGATGCATGTTTTGCATTTTGTTACTTTGTTGCCTTTAACTCGTGAAAGTTTTCTTTTGGCGCATGATGTCATAACACTTTTACTTATATTACTAAAGTTTTAATTAACCACTGTGACACATATGTTCAGTTGAGCACCCCTAAGTGATTGATACTTTAGTGCCCTCC